TGTCATCTAAGTTCGATCAGTAACCTTCCTTTCCTGTCACGACCTGAACAAACGTTCGATAAAACTCGGTTTTGTCCAAATTTTGGAACTTGAGATATCGATTCCAATCTTACTTTTCGGAAGGGGTGGAGTCATTTATGGCGAGCGCTGCGTGATCTGTAGTTCCAAGAGCTGATAAGACGCAGAGTATACAAGGCGGCACTAGATTTCTGGCAGGATCAACAGATACGTGTATAAAACAGAATAATTAAAAAAAATAAATAAAAAGTTTTAATGATTTATTTAACAGACCAAAACGGGAGCCAAGGAGGAAGCCTGTTTGTTCGGGGTTCCCATACAGCACAGTAGCAGAAGGTCCCAGCGACAATGACGAAGCCATGAATCATCGAATTGCTGAAACGGTTCTTTACAGAAGACTTGTCTCAAGCAGCGAATGAGTCAGGTCGTCATGTGAGCGAACGTTTACTCCGATGTCTTCTCAGAGGTTACTCATTGTTTTCTAGAACCCACAACCGATATTTGCCTGAGCCGGCGGTGACGTGTCCTAGAAAGTCTTGGCTGCTGGCTGGTGTCACTGCAGAAACTTTCATTGTGTTACATCCCGGACCAATCGAACGACAGACTGGGAGGATACCAAGGCCATGATGAAGCACGTCGGGTGCAATCGTACAATATGTGTCCTCCGCAGTGACCTTCATTGTTTTATCAGCACTCCGGTGAGTTTGGGCAAGCAGCCTGTGGAAACCACCAAAAAAACACCCAACAAATAAAAAACACAAACTTTTTAGGAAGATCTGTACCAGCTTCAAATGTGATTTATGAAAAATATGGATTCCGTTGAAAAAAAAATGTTCCATATTTCCCTGAATTTTGAACAATTAAAAAAATAAAAACAATTATCTAAAATTTGTAGACCTCCCCAACAGTTTTTATAATTAGGTAAGTCTGTTGTCAATTTTATCTGGCTTTATGTTAATGTAAAACTAAAGGAATTTTTTTGTTTTAATTTTGAAGAGGGGTTATGTCAGGGTCCTGTCCATGGCAGAGGTTCTGGAAGATCTAGCATTATTGCCAGTACTCTGCATGGCCGCAGAAGTACACATCAGCCTCAGTTTGGTGCCAGACGGCTTTTATAAGGAGGCTCATCACTTCCTCTAGTTTCTGGATGATCTCTAGCTCCCCGTGCCCTGTTCCTGTTTCCTGTGACTTTGACCCGTGATTTCCTGATACTGACTTGTCTTGCTCCTCGACCTGTCTACTCTGCCTTACCCCTGATCTGACCTCGGCCTGGCTCATGGATACTCTCTCTCGCTCCTCTGTGTATGACCTCGGCTATCCCATCTGACTACGTCTGCTCTGATTCCCACCTGGTACCTGACCTTGGCTTGGACCGACTACCCAGAAGTATCTAAATCCCGGAAGGGCTTGCATACCTCGCACAGGTGCCTCCTGTCTGCAGACCGATCTCCATGCACCAGCTGTGCTTCTGAGTGGACCACCAACCAGCACTCCTACAGGCGACCTGTGCAACTTTGGGCCTGACTCTCGCTGTCCCCACTCTCAGGGGAGTCCGGAACGTAGCCGCAAGGGAAGCCCTCTCTCCACTGGCCTCCATCACCAGGTACGTGAAAGGTTATAACTCCCATCAGGTTATTTCGCCATCTGTGTCCCATTGGGGAGGTTTCCCTTTACTTCCTGTCCCATAGCCAAAAAAGGAAGTGAGAGTAAATCTCTGAAAATTTAAAAGCATTCCTTGGACACCCCCCCCCCCCCCCCCCCCCCCCCCCCCCACCAGAACTAGTAGTTTCCTATCTTTTATTTTTTTGGGGACAACCCAAAATTTGTGATTTTCTTTTACTTTCATGATAATAGAGAGGGTGAATCTCCTTACCTGGTACACAGGCAGCAATAAAAACGTAACAGGGGTTCTAATCCCTCTCCATTCTATCCTACACTAAAATAGAAAACATTTTTGCCTTTTAGTTATACTTTAAAGTTTTTTTTTGTTAACATTTTATATATGTGTCCTAGTACTACATCTAAAAATTCCTGTTAAAATAAAATGGTCACTTCTTCAACTATTTTAGAATTAACACGTTATGCTTTTGTTAAAAAAAAAATAATAATGTATTAAACAACTCTAACGTACTCTAAAATTTGGTTACCTTTTTTTTTTTTTTTTTTAGACTTTTTTCCACTAGATGGAAGTATATTATCGGTGTTTTAAAAAAAGGGTATAATTTAACCTTACAAGACACAGCAGATTCCCCTAATTTTTCAACAGTTATATTTTTTAAAAATCTGATCCTATGTAAAGTAACAAGTGCTGTTTTTTTTTTTTGTTTTTTTTTATTTTCTTTGAATAAAATATATTTTTTTTTTTGCATGTTAACTGTTTACAAGATACAGCAGATCCCCCAAATTATTTCAGCAGTTATATTTAAAAAAAAAAAAAATAAAGTATCAAGTGCTGTTTTTTTTTTTTTTTTTTTTTTTTTTTTTTTTTTTTTTACTTGACTAAAATATATGTTTTACATGTTACTTTTTTTTTTTTTTTTTTTTTTTTTTAAACCATGATTGTAATTTTTTTAAACATAAATGGCTTAAAAATATTTAGTAATTAAATATAAATACATAACATGTAAATAACACAGTGCTTAAAAAGATCCCAGTCTAATGTAGAAAGCACCTTTTCCCATAATTGATCTGCTTGTCTAGTGATTTTTAGGTACTCGGTACATTTTGCTGGCAGCAAATAAACAACCCCTGGGCCAAATGTAACTTGTGATGTTACTTTTTTTTTTTTTCAGCTTTGACTGATGAATCTTTTAATGATTTAGAGCAGAATTTGAGGCAGAGATCTTTCTGAAGAGGAATCCTCCGTTTACAATACTTTAAACAGGTAAATAGTTTCTTGCTCAAAGTACCAAAACCCTCTAAATTTAGGTTCGTTGCCTTGAGGCCTCTGTATTTAATCCCTTTTCTGTCTTTATAAAGCTGTTGACCCGTTTTGGATGCCACCTCTGCGTTCTCTCCTGTAATTGCTTTCTGCAGAAAACATGGAGTTGGTAGAGAAGTTACATTTTCATGAATGCATACCAAGAGCGCAACATAACCAAAATTAAATAAAAAAATACAAAGCATACCAGTAGTACAATTTTCAGTCCCTGTTATTATGTTGGCATACCCGATAGCGTGGCTTTGGTCATTGGACTGCAGTTGGTTTGAGGCTTTCACATGCTGGTTGTACTTGTCATATGACCTAAGTTCCAACAGTGCTCATTTTGAGGAACAACTTGCCCCACAACATTTACACCTAAGGAAGAGGGATTTTTGGGACCCCCCCTTATCCTTGTGAGCAAGCCAAGAGTGGTGGAATACATCAGGGAAGGTCAGCTTTGGGTTGGAGCCTAAGAAGAGGGATTTGTGGGACCCCCATCCTTGTAAAATGCATCAAGAAAGGTTGACTTTGGGTTGGAGCGGGGGGAAGAGGGATTTGTGGGAACCCCCTATCCTTGTGAGCAACTAGGAGTGGTGGAACACATCAAGGAAGGTTGGCTTTGGCTTAGAGTCTGAAGAAGAGGAACTTGTGGGACCCCCATCCTTGTGGTGAAATGCATCAAGAAAGGTTGACTTTGGGTTGGAGCGGGGGGAAGAGGGAATTGTGTAACCCCCTATCCTTGTGAGCAAACCAGGAGTGGTGGAACACATCAAGGAAGGATGGCTTTGGCTTGGAGCCTGAAGAAGAGGAACTTGTGTAACCCCCATCCTTGTGGTGAAACACATCAAGAAAGGTTGGCTTTGGGTTGGAGCCTTTAGGAAGAGGAATTTGTGTAACCCCCCTATCCTTGTGAGCAAGCCATGAGTGGTGGAATACATCAAGGAAGGTTGGCTTTGGGTTGGAGCCTGAGAAAGAGGAACTTGTGTAACCCCCATCCTTGTGGTGAAACGCATCTAGAAAGGTTGACTTTGGGTTGGAGCCGGGGGAAGAGGGATTTGTGGGACCCCTATCCTTGTGAGCAACTTAGGAGTGGTGGAATACATCAAGGAAGGCTGGCTTTGGGTTGGAGCCTGGGGAAGAGGGATTTGTGTAACCCCCTATCCTTGTGAGCAAACCAGGAGTGGTGAAATGCATCAAGAAAGGTTGGCTTTGGGTTGGAGCCTGAGGAAGATGGAATTGTGTAACCCCCATCCTTGTGAGCAAGCCAAGAGTGGTGGAATACATCAAGGAAGGTTGGCTTTGGGTTGGAGCCTAAGGAAGAAGGATTTGTGTAACCCCCATCCTTGTGGTGAAATGCATCAAGAAAGGTTGGCTTTGGGTTGGAGCCTGAGGAAGAGGGATTTGTGTAACCCCATCCTTGTGAGCAAACCAGGAGCGGTGAGATGCATCAAGGAAGTTTGGCGACATCACTGTATGCAGTCAATTCACTGACTACCACAAGAAAAGCTAATTGGAGTGTGGCTGATATTTCTTCCTATATTCAATGAAGAAGGAAGATGAACTGTGATGGCCTGCACCTAGGTTGTCCATGTGCAGTAGAGGCCAGTCTATGGATCTGTGTGACTGTCTCATTTGGACCTAAAAATTGGCTTGGCACCTTTTTTCTCTGTTTCCACTCAGTGTACATGAGCAGCCTCACCAAATGTCACTGTACTTTTGAGTGTCTTCTATGTAAGACACCCACTTTCACCAAACCTTTGGAGATCCAGTCCACCTTGACAATTTCCAATGCTGTTAGTGGTAGACATTGTGGGATGGATGTCACTTGTGCTTACCTTCAGGTGATCAACTCTACACTACATGCTCTTGTATAAAGAATAGAGGTGTTCAGGTTGAACCTCTACTGTTGCCAGAGGAACCCTTGATATAATTTTCAGGTCTCAGGGAACCATTGTTGAAAATAATCCATCATTGGTGAAGAATGTCAGTGAGTGAAGAATGTCCGTACATCGGTGGTCAGTGGGAAGAATATACCTTACATTGGTGGTCAGTGGAAATAATGTCCCTTACTTTGGTGATCAGTGGGAAGAATGTCCCTTACATTGGTGGTCAGTGGGAAGAATGTCCCTTACATTGGTTGTCAGTGGGAAGAATGCCCCTTGCATTGGTGGTCAGGGGGGAGAATGCCCCTTACATTGGTGGTCAGTGGGAAGAATGTCCCTTACGTTGGTGGTCAGTGGGAAGAATGTCCCTTACATTGGAGGTCAGTGAGAAGAATGTCCCTTACATTGGAGGTCAGTGGGAAGTATGTCCCTTACATTGGTAGTCATTAGGCAGAATGCCCCCTTACAGAGGTGATCAGTCAGCTATTAAGATCACTGGTGTCATGCTACTAACTCTGCAAAGTGGTGAAGGACCTGGACCTACAAAGCCTCCATCAGATAGGAGGTCAATTAACCATAGCTCATGGAAGCCACGCAACCTCTGGAGGAACCCTAGGATTCCATGGAACCGTGGTTGAGATGGCCAGTTTCGAAGAAGGGAACAAAGATGGCACTGTGGATCTGTGGTGGGATCATACCGATGGTACCTTCATAGCTCTTTTATTTTTTGCTGGTTTGTTAAACTAGTTTTACAAGATGATCCCTCAAAAAAAATGTCAACGCATGATGTTTGGACCCAGGAATTCCTCATCACAAAACATTTATTGAAAAAAAGGACCATGAAAACGTCCACTGAAGTCCACCCATGCATGTCCACTGTCGGCGCGATATTTTAACAAATGGTGCCATCAAGTTTTGCAGAGAAGGTCAATCCATGGATGTCATCTGTTTCTGAATCCTTTAAAAGGAGGGCTTCCACTAGCACTCGTTTTTTTGAATGTGGTGGAAAATGGGACCACCCAAGCGAGAACTACGCAAGGCCCAACATCTCCATTCATCAGTCCATGCACCCATGTAAGAATCGAGCCGCTGACTCCAGGAAGGAGACAAAGCTGACCACACAGCCTCGATTTTCACCTTAATTCTACGATAGGAAATGAATTCTCCAGCGATACAAACATCGTCCTCGTATCTTCCTGTTTTGTAACACGACCGTATACAGATCCCAACGTTCGCCGTTGATTTATGTCGATCTGTCTTGCATGTTTCATCTAAATTGTGAACAGGCCAAAGGAAAAAAAAAAAAGCCAACAACAACACTGCCATCTGTTCCATCGTACGTCACGGCAGTGCATGAAAGACAGTTCCTGTGTACTACAGCTGTGGTGCCCCTCTGCTGGCTTAGAAACCGGTCGGGTCGACCCTCCCCATTGTTTGGCCGCATCTCACGCTATGCGCCTTCCAAAAAACTCGTGCTTGACTAGTACCACCTTCTGAAGAGATGGATTGTTACCGTCGTATGCCTTCGGGCCTTCCCCAATAGTCGATTGTAAACAGCCGTGCAGTAACACTTCAACTTGTTTGTGTACCTTATTATTATCGTTTTACGCTCCTTTTCCTCCGCCCTCTGAAAGCAACACATGTAATTAAAACAGACATTGATAGTATGCTAGAGACTGGATACATTTTTTTTTTTTTTTGTGCTCTGAATTTTTTTTCTATTCAAAGACAATTTTTATTATACTTTGGCGCGCATCTCGCTGTTTACTTAGTTCCGCCTGTAAAGACAGTATTTGTTTTATAGTAAAGTTAGGTGTAATATTTAGTAGGAAAAAAAAGCTAAAATTTTGTTTAAATGGAACAAAATTAAAAATACGAAGAACAATAAAAATTTTGTCCAATGGCTTTATACATAACAGCGGAAACTTACCTGAATTATAGATAATGATGATTATTATTTTATATTTGTCATTTATGGTATACTAGAGATTGGATACATTTTTTGTGCTCTGAATTATTTTGTTTAAATGGAAAAAAAATTAAAAACACGTAGAGCAATAAAATTTTGTCCAATGGCATTATACATAACAGCTGAGATTTACCTGAATTATAGATATTTAGGTATTGATAATGATTATTATTTTATATTTGTCTTTTATGGTATACTAGAGATTGGATACATTTTTTGTGCTCTGAATTTTTTCTCCTATTCAAAGACCAATTTTTATTTGTATTGTACTTTGGCGCGCATCTCACTGTTTATTTAGTTCCGCCTGTAAAGACAGTATTTGTCTAGGAGAAAAGAAAAAAAAAGATAAAATTTGTTTAAATGGAACAAAATTAAAAACACATAGAGCAATAAAATTTTGTCCAATGGCATTATACAAAACAGCTGAGATTTACCTGAATTATAGATATTTAGGTATTGATTAAGATTATTATTTTATCATGATATATTTGTCATTGAAGGTATACTAGAGATTGGATACATTTTTTTTGTGCTCTGAATTTTTTTTCCTATGCAAAGACCAATTTTATTTTTAAAAAGCTAAAATTTTGTTTAAATGGAACAAAATTAAAAATACGTAGAGCAATAAAATTTTGTCCAATGGCATTATACATAACAGCGGAAACTTACCTGAGTTATATATATATATATATATGTACATTTTGATAATGATTATTATTATTTTATATTTGTCTTTTATGGTATACTAGAGATTGGATACTTTTTTTGTGCCCTGAATTTTTTTCCTATTCAAAGACCAGTTTTTATTTGTATTGTACTTTGGCGCGCTTCTCACTGTTTATTTAGTTCCGCCTGTAAAGACAGTATTTGTCTAGGAGAAAAGAAAGAAAAAAAAAAAGATAAAATTTTGTTTAAATGGAACAAAATTAAAAATATATAGAGCAATAAAATTTTGTCCAATGGCATTATACATAAAAGTGGAGGCTTGCCTGAATTATAGATATTTAGGCATTGATAATGATTATTATTTTATCATGATATATTTGTCATTATACTAGAGATTGGATACATTTTTTTTGTGCTCTGAATTTTTTTTCCTTTGCAAAGACCAATTTTATTTTTAAAAAGCTAAAATTTTGTTTAAATGGAACAAAATTAAAAATATATAGAGCAATAACATTTTGTCCAATGGCATTATACATAAAAGCAGAAACTTACCTGAATTATAGATATTTACATATTGATAATGATGATTATTATTTTATATTTGTCATTGATGGTATACTAGAGATTGGATAAATTTTTTTTGTGCTCTGAATTTTTTTTTCTATGCAAAAACCAATTTTATTTTTATTGTTCTTTGCCCATATCTCACTGTTTACTTAGTTTCACCTGTAAAGACAGTTTTTGTTTTATGGTAGGGTTAGGTGTAATATTTAGTAGGGAAAAAAAAGCTGAAAAGCTATTCAAAGACCAATTTAATTTTTAAAAAGCTAAAATTTTGTTTAAATGGAACAAAATTAAAAATACATAGAGCAATAAAATTTTGTCCAATGGCATTATACATAACAGTGGAAACTTACCTGAGTTATAGATATTTAGGTATTGATAATGATGATTGTTATTTTATATCTGTCATTTATGGTATACTAGAGATTGAATACATTTTTTGTGCTCTGAATTTTTTTGTTTAAATGGAACAAAATTAAAAATACGTAGAGGAATAAATTTTGTCCAATGGCATTATACATAAAAACAGAGACTTGCCTGAATTATAGATATTTAGGCATTGATAATGATTATTATTTTATCATGATATATTTGTCATTGATGGTATACTAGAGATTGGATACATTTTTTTTGTGCTTTTTTTTCCTTTTCAAAGACCAATTTTATTTTTTTTGGACTTTGGCGCGCATCTCTCTGTTTACTTAGTTCCGCCTGTAAAGACTGTATTTGTTTTATAATAGGGTTAGGTGTAATATTTAGTAAGAGAAAAAAAAAAAAAGCTAAAATTTTGTTTAAATGGAACAAAATTAAAAATACCTAGAGCAAAGAATGTTTGTCCAATGGCATTATACATAAAAGCAGAGACTTACCTGAATGATAGATATTGTAGTATTGATAATGATGAGTATTATTTTATATTTTTCATTTATGGTGTACTAGAGCTATATATAAATATATATACATTAGTACATTCACATCAGTCCCTAACAATCCAAGGTACAATCTAAGGTCCCTAACCCTCAAGGGGCGTACAATCTAAGGTCCCTAACCCTCAAGAGGCGTACAATCTAAGGTCCCTAACCCTCAAGGGGGTACAATCTAAGGTCCCTAACCCTCAAGGGGGTACAATCTAAGGTCCCTAACTCTCAAGGGGCGTACAATCTAAGGTCCCTAACCCTCAAGGGGCGTACAATCTAAGGTCCCTAACCCTCAAGGGGCGCACAATCTAAGGTCCCTAACCCTCAAGGGGCGTACAATCTAAGGTCCCTAACCCTCGAGGGGCGTACAATCTAAGGTCCCTAACCCTCGAGGGGCGTACAATCTAAGGTCCCTAACCCTCAAGGGGCGTACAATCTAAGGTCCCTAACCCTCAAGGGGCGTACAATCTAAGGTCCCTAACCCTCGAGGGGAGTACAATCTAAGGTCCCTAACCCTCGAGGGGAGTACAATCTAAGGTCCCTAACCCTCGAGGGGCGTACAATCTAAGGTCCCTAACCCTCGAGGGGCGTACAATCTAAGGTCCCTAACCCTCGAGGGGCGTACAATCTAAGGTCCCTAACTCACATTCATACATACACATACTAGGGCCAATATAGACAGGAGCCAATTCACCTAACACCATGTCTTTGAAGTGTGGGAGGAAACCCACACAGGCACAGGGAGAACATGCAAACTCCAGGCAAGTGGTGCCGTGGTTGGGATTCAAACCAATGACTCGAGTACTGCCGGTCGGAAGTGCTAACCACTTAGCCACTGTGCACACACCACACATTGTTAGGCACACAGTTAACCCTTTGATCACCCCCCAGATGTTAACCCCTTCCCAGCCAGTGTCATTAGTATAGTCACCGATCACTGTATTAGTGTCATTGGTGATGTCAGTGTGACAGGAGGGTGAGAGCTGATTAGAGGGAAGGGACACTCCCTCCCCCCCTTCACACAGCACAGAGAACAGAGCTGAATCTGTCAATCATGTCAATCGCAGGCCGTGCGCTGGAGCTCCCTCCCTCCCCTGTCATCATCACCGATTTCTTGTTGTCAGAAGTGTGTTATCACCGATCACTGTATTAGTGTCATTGGTGATGTCAGTGTGAGAGTCAGTGTGAGAGGAGGGGTGAGAGCTGATTGGAGAGAAGCGACACTCCACCCTCCCCCACCCCCCCTTCACACAGAACAGAGCTGAAGCTGTCAATCATATCAATCACAGGCCGTGTGCTGGAGCTCCCTCCCCTGTCACCATTTTTTTTCTTGGTGTCAGGCGTCAGAAGTGACTCATGCAGACAGCAGAGGAAGAAAGCAGCAGACTGAAATGACACTTAGTGCTCTGGATTGAGACCAATAAACACTATGGAGGGATGTGCTTTG